GGGAAAGAGCCAGGATTTGTAGTAGGCAGTCTAAAATATACTGCCTCTTTTTCAACTTTGTTGGAACGCAGTTTGTAAATGTTCTGCTGTTGAATTTAGGGTGTTTCCCAAGTCATCTTTTCTCACTCAAGAGATTGATTCACTTAAATGTTTGCTGAGTGCTTACATTGTGTCAGGCGCTTAACATGGGCCTTGCTTTTTCAGAACTTCCAAATAACTGTGGTTTCAGGTAGTGCTGAATACTTTGAAGAAATTAAGAGGGGGATAAAATACTTGTAGGGTGGGGATCACTCCTTGAGTTGGGTCATTGGTAAAGGCTCCCTGAGAAGATGGTGTTTGTAACTGAGACCTGAGCGATGAGGAGCCAGTCTTGTGAAGGTCAAGGCCTTGGGGGACCAGATCTGGGTCAGCAGAACTCTAGGTTGAGGGACCACCTAATGCAAAGCCCTATGGTAGGAATGAGAAAATATTACAAGCACTTAACCACATGTCAGACACCATGCAGGGCACTTGGGATACAGATACAGTGATGAGCAAGATAGGCATGGTCCCTCTATCATTAAGATTACGGTCTGTTAGGGAAGTCAGACATTAAATACTTATAATGTTAATTATAGTTATGCAAAGGACTACAAAGATAATGCAGGAGGCAATGAAAGTGTATAATAGAGTGACCTAATCTAAACTTCAGGAGTGGGAAGAGGCATCAGGGAACACTTTTCCTGAGAAAACCTTTAAAGCTGAGACCTGAAGGGTAAGAGGTAACCAGGCAAACAGGAGAAGTGATTATCATATGCAGAACCTCCGAGGTTGGAAGGAATCTGACATGTTTGAGGAGCCTACCAACCAAACAAAACCAAAAAGGACAGTGTAACTGGAGAGAGGAAGTAAGTGGTGGAGACAGTTAAAATCCTGACAAGGTAATCAGGGGTCAGGTCAAGTAGGGCGGTATTCTTTTCTTTTAAAATTTATTTATTTATTTATTTTTGATTGCGTTGGATCCTCGTTGCTGGATGCGGGCTTTCTCTAGTTGCAGCTAACGGGGGCTACTCTTTGTTGCGATGCGTGGGCTTCTCACTGCGATGGCTTCTCTTGTTGCAGAGCACAGGCTCTAGGTGCATGGGCTTCAGTAGTTGCAGCACGTGGGCTCAGTAGTTGTGGCTCACGGGCTCTAGAGCACAGGCTCAGTAGTTGTGGCGCACAGGCTTAGTTGCTCCATGGCATGTGGGATCTTCCTGGACCAGGGCTCAAAGGGTAGAGCTTTGTTCTGAAGGCAGTGGGAATGCAAAGTTCAGCAGAGGAGTATAACATGCTTGGAGTAATATCAGTAGCTGCAGTGTAGAGAAGGGATCAGGGAGAGGTAAGAATGGATTTGGTGAGAACAATTAGGAGGCTACTGCAGTTCAGGTAAGATAAGATGGTAGTATGGTTGAGAGTGCTGGCAGTAGAATTATAGAGGTCTTCAGGAATACTTAGGAAATGGAATCAAAGGACTTTGGTTCATTGGTTGTGTGGAGGGTGAGGTTAAGGGTTACATATAAGCATGACTCCCACGTTTTTCTCACGTGAGTGGTTTGTGGTGCAGTCCTTTTATTGAGATACAGGGCGCACTGAAGGAAGAGCAGGTTTGGAGACTGAGGGGAAGAGCCTATGTTCAGTTTTGAGTTAAGTTTGGACAGGTTGAGTGTGAAGTGCCTGTGAGACATCCTGGTAGAACTGTTGAGTAGGTAACTGGCTGCGGTTCTGGGCTTCAGGAAGGGCTTATTGGCATATAGTTGGATCTTACTGGCATACGTGTGGTAGTTGAAGTTGGGTAGACAGGGAGTGACTTACAAAGGGAGTGAGAAGGAGGGACCAGAGGGATATGAGGAAAATCAGGAGAAGTGGTGCTGGGACTTCCCTGGTGGTCCAGTGGGTAAGACTCCTCACTCCCAACGCAGGGGGCCCGGGTTTAATCCCTGTTCGGGGCACTAGATCCCGCATGCAGGCCGCAACTAAGAGTTCGCATGCTGCAACGAAGATCCTGCATGCCACAACTAAGGCCCAGTGTGGCCAAAATAAATAAATAAATAAATTCTTAAAAAAAAAAAAGAGTAGTGGTGCCTTGGGGACTTCCCTGGCGGTCCAGTGGTTAAGACGTCACGCTTCCAAGCAGGGGCATGGGTTCAATCCCTGGTTGGGGAACTAAGATCCCACATGCCATGCGGTGGGGCCAAAAGATTTTTTAAAAAAAAGGATAAACAGTGTTTATC